GCAGTTCGCTCTACCCTGTGTTCCTGACAGCTCTAATGACGTATGCATTTTTTTGTTCAATGAACCTAAACTTCAAAAATTTTGTAGTGTGACATTCACGCACACTTACTTTGGGCCCTTCACTTTCTGTCCTTAGACAGACCATCGCGATTGTGGAGCTCTGAAAATCACTTCATTTAGCGCGTGCATTTCTATCTTGCGCTTTGTAAAGGAAATAGATAACAAGACAGTATGTTTTTTTTAATAGAAAGTCAGCTATAAAAACTAAGCTAACCCTTCCACTAATGATCAATCTGGCCCACTGGTCAGGGTCATGCCGTAAGAGTAATTAAGCTATTGTCAGTGCGCGTATTTGTGCTTGGTCGCGTGGTGGGCTGTTCGTTTCCACCAATGTAGCCATCTTTCCCTTGCTGTATCGCGCCCCTACCGAGTGATGCATTGGCGTAGCGTGGTGGGCGTGGCCCGTCTCACGTAGTCTGAACGTAGCTTCAAATGCGTGTGAACAATTTTTTGTTACTCCGGTTTTCCTTGTCCTCGGCACTCTCACCTGCTGCACTGCGTTATTTCTCAAGGAAAGTCTTTGTTTCAACTGTTGGGATGATCCCTGAATGCCAAGAACGCGAAAAAATTTTTTGAAGCATGTCACGAACACACGATGCTAACGCCAACGCCACGGCAAAAATGTTTCGCGTACGCCGGCGTTATGTTCACGTATTGTGGCATGATGGAACTCGTTCTTTCTGGAAAACAGAAAATCGTTACTCGCGTTCTCGCTAAGCGTCGGATGCGTGTTGTCCTTTTTTGATTACCGTGCTGGCCTCTAAAACACATTTTTGCCATTCGGGGTGGGCGCAGTTTCACACCTATGGCGTCGTAAAAGAAAAGAAGAAAAAAGAGGAAGGGCTAGACAAATTAGGGGGTTTCAGCAGCTCCACAATGGCCTGGCGTTCCCTTTCTCGGCCATCTGAGCTTCGCAGCTAGTCGAATTACGAGTCAAGCCAACGACTTACAGAGGTTGTCAGCACCATCGCCATTCCACTTCAGGTCCACTACAGGCCGAAGGTGTCTTTGCTTACGCGCCTACCTTGCGCGAAACCTGAGTGATCTCCTTCACGGTTTTGTGTGACGCGTGTACGTACGTGCAGAGAGGTATGCTCCTACGCCACTCCCTGCTGCCGGTCCCCAACGACGATGACATCGTAGCTCTGGCCGACTGGATTAGCCCTACGCCATCTCCTGTCGCCGACAAGAGCTCTCGCCAGTGGTGCCCCGTCCTCGGACTCCTGCAAACGTGTCCTTATTTGCTGTCTTCTCCTTACTTCCGTCGTTCGCTGTCCCTGTGCCTCGCTCTCCCCTTCCTCTCTATCTCTCTACATTTTAATCATATCCTTTTATTCTCTTCTCTACCCCCATCCCTCGGGAGCTACTGTTGAGGTGTCCTCCCCCTGAGAGACAGTTACGGGGCTCACTTTTCTCTTCCTTTTTAAAATCACTTCCCCACTTCCCTTTCGTTTACGTTCGGAGCTAGATCCTCGTATAAGTGTACATTTACTTTTAGTGTGTCTAAACTGTGTACAAGACTCATCATATTTATTTCATCTCTCCCCATCTCGTTAATGTAGTTCTGCCCTCTATTTTCTTTTTATTCCAACTTTACGTGCTGTTTTCGCGCACCGATAAAGGTTGCACCTAGAAAGTTACGTAGCTTGCATGACGCCGACCTAACGCAGCTATGTAAGCTATTTCTTGAAGCCGCTGCTGAGCCGACGCGAATAAAATTTAATCAATTCTTATTCTGCCAAGTCCTAAAATTTACGCCCCCCCCCCTTGCTTTTTTATAGGGTCCGATTTTGTTGCCTGTACAGCGCGAACCGTTCAAGCGGCATGTTCTTTCTGGTCCACACCGTGTACACGCGAGCGTTCGCGCTTGATCTTGGAAATTCCGCGCGTTTGCCGCCGCCGCGGAATAGTTCGATTACGTGAAGCGGCCGCATTTTCCTCTCCCTCCAACCCTCCTGCCATCGGCCTTTCTATGCAACTAAAAAAAAAAAAGGGCTAAAGGTGAAAAGGAAAACAGTGAGAACTGTAAAGAGAATCTCCAGCGTCCCGAAAGGAGCTGGCCAGAAAGTGAGATCTCTGCCGATGATCGCGATGTAAACAAGAACCGGCAATGCCGTTTGGAAGGAAAATGGGTTGGAGGGAGAGAGAAACGACGTAAGCGAAACGAATTCGACTGGCATTGCGCGGTTTTGCGTGTGCACTGGGCAGCAGTAGTGGTTTAGGAGAGAGGGGAGCAAGGTACTGCGCCTGTCTTGTGTGTGCGCGTCGTTATCAGACGTACGTAGGAGTAAGCAAGGCAAACAGGAATAGGCCGAATGGAACAAGCCTGCGGGAGGCAGTTGGCGGGGTTGGATGGTTTCGGAAGCTCGCTGCATGCCGATGTATCTTGGTCGATGCGAATCGGAATTTCACTTTTTCTTTCTATTTCCAATCGTGTAGCGTGCAGGAAGCTACATCGGTGGCTTCTCTCCCCGCGTCCACTCGCCCGCAATTCTTTCTCTTACGCGACTTCCTGTCCTTCTGCGTTATATCACGCATACGCTTTTACCTTTGCGCTCTGCTTCTCTTCCTGGGTCACGCGATCGCTTCGTTTTTTTTTTTTTTTCTGGTATTCCTTTTAACTGTCTTGTTCTTGCTTCTTGCTGCACCGTTCGGCGGACACGTGTACCGGATTCTTGGAGGTGGCCGCCGCTGCGCGAACCGCGTGATATGTTTGCCTGGTGCCGCAAGAAAAAGTAGAACAAGAAGAAAGCATTCCTCGCGGCTTGCACCGATGTCGAAGTCGATCTCGCCAAGCCCTGCAGCCGCTACCAGACGAGCTGGATGGAAGGCGCGATGTTTTTGTTTTGTTTTTTTTTTATGCACATGCGCTAAGTCGGGCAGCGCGAATGCCCCGTGCTTTTTCTTCTATTCGTGCGTACACGTGAGCATATGTGAAGGATAAAAGAAGGAGCATGGAGAAATAAATGAGGTTGGCGTGATTTGCGAGATCTTCTACCGCCCTTTTCTTTTGATCTTCTTTGACTTTGCCCCCGACTCCCATTTACTGCGTTTTCCCTATAGCTGCGTATACGATCTGCAGCTGGCATCTCTCTCTCTCTCTCCCTCTCCTGCTTCGCCCTTCCGAGAACTGGTGGGTGTCTCTACTGATGAACCAAGACGTTCCGTTTATTTGTCCGCTGGCTCTCGGTGCGTTTGCTCTCCCGTGGTATTGATCTTGCTCTTCTCCTTTTGTTCCGAGCAGTTCCCAATACAGTAAAAAAACCGCGCATTCTCTCCTTACATGTAGGCTTAAAAAAGCGAGAAAATAAGGTGATATAATCGGCTTTCCTGTATCTCTTTTCTATACCGTTTGTACGCGCGCCTTTGCTACATCGCAGACCGCAACAGACTAATCGGTCTTGCGTTCGGCTTCGCCTCTGCGCTCTGTAGCTGTGCACGTTGTCCCGCACTTTTCTCAGAAGCGACTGGTGGCCGGATACGAAAGGAAGTAGAAGCCCGGTTATTGAGTTAGCCATCTCGGAGAAGAAACGAAATTTGAGACTTAATTAATAATTGATCCCCCAAATATGTGCGCAGTCCTGCGTTTTCGGGTTATGTCGATTGCTTGACGGTAACAGCGCGCTATTGAGAGATTGTTACCTGCCCGACCTTTTTTTTGTTGTTGTTGTTGTTTACAGCTATATCCGTTTTTTTTTTTATAAATCGCGCCGGAAGGAAACATCACTATGACGTAACGGTTATTTCGAGGAGTTAATAACGTGTTTAATCTATTAGAGGACTGATTCGATTGTTCACCGTGAGCGACCACCGCCATCGCATGGGCCTGTTAATCAGCTCGTACAATCCGAGGCGTAATTATTTTTCAGTTACCAATTTGAATAAAAAGGTTACACTCCGTTACCCCGTTCCATAAGCAGCAGAAAGCGCTGCCAATTGGTAGTCGAGGCTCCTGAGAACACGCGAACCAAACATTACACGCGAAGCACACAGCCTTGAATTTACAATCGGTTCTCCAAGTCAGTTAGAAACTGTTCCCCTTCTCCACAAATCATGTGATGTAGGCAAATGGCCGCGCCGTATATCCAAATTCACGGCCATTTGTTCACCTGATGAGCATCGTGGGTGCATAGTTAACGAGGCAGCCGCGGGACGCCGCCACGTGACCAGGCGCCCGTTCGTGGTGGAGTACCTTATCGCGGAGACCTTCAGTGCTTCAAGGACTCCGCTGAAAGTAAGCCGGAAAACGGTTGCTTCCAGTAAGATTATTTGAGTGCGCTGCTTTCTTTTGCGGGTGTGAGCGCAGTCTTTTTTTTTTCATATTTCGCGGGCTTTCTCTATTTACAGAGGAATTAATACGATGCTGGTAGTAGCACAGACATGTCATTTCAAAAGGTGCACATCTGCCTCGTTGACATTTTGACATATAGGCGAATGCATCGAGTTACAACTGCAATTAGACTAATTCATTAATACTCATTAACGAAAAAAAATTAGTAGCGGGTATACTTCTGTATATACTAGGTTTTCCTCGCTTAATGCCGTTACTCTTTCTTTAAATAAATCGTGCTGCGTGATAATTGGGGTGCCCTGTATATACTGCAACAAGGTAATAGACAATAGAAGAAAGTTCGTAGGGTTACGTAGTGCTGAGAAGGCTTCACAGAAGTTATGAATACCAAAGGAAAGAAGCGGACAAGCGGTGTCAACCTCTTCTCCGTGCGGTTAGTAATTCTTTCGCTGCCTTTGCAACGCACGGTGTATAGTATATCAGGATTCGCGTGCAAAGCAAGTGCATCGTATCTGATGGAGTTGCGCATTTGTTTCACGCGCAACTATACCATCTCACGCGTGCCTGTGCTGCGCCTGCAGTGCAGATCAGTCCCGCTTTATCTCAATCCCTAATCTTTTTTTCTCTCCCTCTCTTTTCGTTTGTGCAGAACCGCGGCAAGTCGTTGGACATGAATGTCCAGAACGTGTGGAAGAGAAACATCACTGGGCGCGGCGTGGTAGTCACCATCTTGGACGATGGACTCGAGAAGGACCACCCGGACTTAGTCGAAAACTACGTGAGTATACACTTGGGGGCGTTGTTTTTTCGGGTAATTCAGCAATGCTTTATCGTGTATGTTCATGTGCGAGAACTTATATATTGCCGCACCCCTACGGTCTACCCTTGCAGCCTTTTACTTATTACTGTCTTTTGTTCGCTGTTCTTGGCTAATGCAGGCTTCGCGTTTTTTACAGCATCAGTCTTTGTGAAATCACAGTGGCATTGGACTTGAATCTGTCGGCTTTTTTTTTTTTTTCTCCGTGTGGCCTGGCCGGGAAGAAATGAAAGATCGACAGGCGTCGAATGAAAACACGAACGGCAGAAGCGTGCCACCAGCATTACGAAGGGTGTATTGTGTGGCCTCCAGTCATCACCGCACATCCGGTCTGGCAGCAGAGCGCGATGTCCCTACGGTACTTTCGTTGCTGTTCTAATACGAAACGAAGGTAACAAAAATAGTAGAAAATAAGTGATACGACCAAAAGCGCTCGGCTCGCCCGCGCCGGCCCCTATCATCACCACATCAGAACTGGAACGCAAGCAAAAAAAGTTGCACTATAAAGCGGTAGTGCAGTGCTGCCAAACCACATGTGTGCGCCGCACCTGTCAATGGCGATGACTGGACGGAGCGCACAATACCGGTTTCTAAAGCCTGGGCCACGCGCCCCGCTGTCCGCGTTTTAGTTGACGCCGATGGTACTTGTTTCAATATTGTTAAACAGGCTTATCGTATGATTGATCTAGCAAGTTACTGGTTTATACCAAGGCGTTTGCAAAGCAAAATAAAGAAAAAACTACGGAGAATTATTTTCTGACGTGATATTTGCGACTGCACATGTAGTAGACTGGCGTGCTTGCTGCGTTGTGTCCTCTGTTTCTCTCTATAAAGCTGCGCGGTTTCTGCGTCATCGAGCTCGCATACAAGATGCGTCTGTTTTTACGATCGTCCCTATAGTCATTCCTTTTCCTGTTCGTAAACTGTCAATCAATCTGGCTGCACGCGGGGCATGCCCTTTCCCGATCCGATGTGAGCTGCCGACCTGTTCGCGTGTGTTTCTCCCAACCTGAAAACACGTGTGGCGGCTCGTTTCCAGGATCCCCAGGCCAGCTGGGACATGAACAACCACGATCCTGATCCTCAACCGAGATACGACCTGGTCGACTCGAACCGGTGAGTGCATTCTTCCACGTGCTGCGCTCCGCGGGAGCTCGCCGCGCTGTCGTGCACGTCCATCATCTCTCTTCTCTCTCATCTTCTTTGTGTGTGTGTCTTTTTCTTATACTTCTAGTTAAAATCTCAGATGTATTTCCTGTGTGGCCTTCTGACCTCGCCTCTCGTTTGGGGACTTCGCTTGCGGCTGATCCGGCGAACTGCCGTCCCTCGTTCGCGTAGCGCACGCATCTACCCTCCGCGCCCCCCTCAACCGCGTGCCTGGGCAGGCCACGTAAATTGTTTGCGCTTTCGCCTTCGTCGGTGGTCACGTCATCACGTTCGTGGGGCGGTCGACTGCATTCCTTTGTCGTTTTTCTTTCTTTACTTTTTTTTTCTTCCTTTCGCGCTTGCTTGCGGTATTGCTGCTTTTAATCCTAGCTGCGACCGCAGGTAAGCGGTCATTCTACGTTCGGTGATGAAATCTAGGAATTTAGATTATCTTAAAAGCGTTTGATAGCGGCAATCCTCAAGAGCCTAACGCCGATGTATAATAAGGTTGCAGACATCAACGTTATTATACAACGATGCTCGGGGGAATCAGCATCGATTATAACGATGCTGTCTGACGCGTGCGTCAGATGGGCCGGATCGTTATCTCTGCTTCATCCGCGTTTGATTGATTTGATTGATATGTAGGGTTTAACGTCCCAAAACCACCATATATGATTGAGAGACGCCGTAGTGGTGGGCTCCGGAAATTTCGACCTCTTGGCGTTCCTTAACGTGCACCCAAATCTGAGCACACGGGCCTACAACATTTCCGCCTCCATCTGAAATGCAGCCGCCGCAGCCGGGATTCGAACCCGCGACCTGCGGGCCAGCAGCCGAGTACCTTAGCCACTAGACCACCTCGGCGGGGCTAGCGGCAACCCTAAAGAGCCTAACGCCGATGTATAATAACGTTGCAGACATCAACGTTATTATACAACGATGCTCGGGGGAATCAGCATCGATTATAACGATGCTGTCTGACGCGTGCGTCAGATGGGCCGGATTGTTATCTCTTCTTCAGCCGCGTTTTATTGATTTGATTGGTATGTGGGTTTTAACGTCCCAAAACCACCATATGATTATGAGAGACGCCGTAGTGGTGGGCTCCGGAAATTTCGACCACTTGGCGTTCTTTAACGTGCATCCAAATCTGAGCACACGGGCCTATAACATTTCCGCCTCCATCGGAAATGCAGCCGCCGCAGTCGGGATTCTATCCCGCGACCTGCGGGTGAACAGCCGAGTACCTTAGCCACTAGACCACCGCGGCGGGGCTTCAACCGCGTTTGTCGCCCCCTCTCGCACGTTTTTACCCGCGGATAGAACATGCGATGCTCGGGGCAATGTTATCAATTTGGAATTTATACCGGACATTACCCCAACGGCTAAAACCCGTCGGGAGTGTCCATATAATTTCTATCGCAATAATGAGGCTACTGCACAATTTAGTTGAATGTTTGGAAAATGCAGCATTGAACAAACGGTGCTTCACAAGTGCTTTGAATTGGGCTAAATCTGTTATGAATGTTCTTACTGCTCTAAACTTGCTCCTAGTGGCCCCTCTGGCTGCCCCAAGCCTGCTGCAAAACGTCTTTCTGGTTGCCTCAAGCCCGCTACAAAACATCTTTCTCGCTTCTCCAGGCCTGCCCCGCAGCGGTGGTCTGGTGGCTGATGTACTCGGCTGCTGACCCGTAGGTCGCGGGATCGAATCCCGGCTGCGGCGGCTGCTTTTCCGATGGAGGCGGAAATGCTGTAGGCCCGTGTGCTCAGATTTGGGAGCACGTTAAAGATCCCCAGGTGGTCGAAACCTCCGGAGCCCCCCACTACGGCGTCATTCATAATCACATGGTGGCTTTGAGACGTTAAGTCCCACATATCAATCAATCGCTTCTCCAGGACTGCTCCGAAAGCACGTTTGCCTGCTCCCAGGACTGCTACAAAACCCACGTATCCATGTTCCACCCCTGGAAAAGCTTATTCTCCGCGCACGTGATTCGTCATAGCAACGGGCGTGCGCAGCGTCGGTTTGTTCTCCTCTCCCACGCACCCTCCTCCGTCGCTCAGCGAGAGCCGCGAGTGTGTGCCTTCGAGACGCTGCGCCGTGTCCTATCAAGGGCTGCAGAAATAAGCGTCTTATATAGTGAGTGTTGTTGGAGGAAGAATGAGGCACTTATTTTCCCAGTTGGAGAAACGGCTCGTGTTATTCTTCACGTGAACACCACTACCACCACCTCAACTCGTCACGTGACACCCACATCGGCAATACGAATGAAAATGTGGATAGCGTCGACAGTGTACCACTCGCCGCGTGGAACACCGCGGCGGCGGCATGCTTTCTGTGCTGGTTGCTCTCGTCGCCCGACGAGCTTGGTTTAACCGCGTTCAACCGGTGCGTAGTCTTTTTTGTGTGTGTGCGTGTGTGTCCTGGATCAATTCGCTATAGGAGGAGTTCGAAGCAATTGAACTGTCCCCTCACAGTGCTGCTAGGAGACGACTCACTGTCAACAGGTGGGGTGCCTGAAGGCTTTCCTCCTCGCCGTCGCTAGCGGTGAAGATTGGGGGGGGGGGCATGCATGTGGCGAATCCGCTCTACCTCTTGCCGATGTTTCTTGCCGTGCCCTCTCGGATATCGGCGCCGAGGGAACTTACCACGTCCGCATTTCGCCCTGCCCTCCCGTTCTCTTTTATTCGTCTTAAGTACACGGCGCATTTCCAGCGATGGCATTGCGCGTTTCGCGTTGGATGGTTTTTCCCGAAGTACTTGCCGTTAGTTGATGGCATTACAAGCAGTGCGTCTCGCGCAGGGGACGCTTGCGAGTGGGAATTTTCGACGTTCACCCGAAATAGCGGCTCATCGAGACTGAATGGGGCGAGGCTTTGTGTGCGAGGTTTTGGCCACTTACGCACCGTTTCATAATCAACCGTGTGGCACGGTCGCCACCGCATGAACTGTGCGCAGGCCCTTCTTGTTTACAATAGCCGAACCCTATGAACCCGTTAATTCTGACTAGACAAATCGCTTCACTTGCGATGTGCCTGAATATCGCGGAAAAAGCCTGCGTTGCCCCGAAAACATTTTGTTAGGATGGCTTCTCCGCGATGAGGGCATTTGTAAGGAGAAGCCTACCTCACAGAGCACATTTTTGTATGCCGAGAGTGAATAACTACATTGTGCGAATGTGTGTGTGTGTTGATTCTATGCTATTGTCGTAGGGATGGGATAGCCTTTAGATATTCCTTTTTTTATGTTAGATATAGAGATAATCCAAGATCGCATGTAAAAAAAAAACATTTGTGGTAGAAGCAAATTCAATCTTTTCTGTTGTTGTTTTTTTCTTCCTCCATACAGGCACGGTACGCGCTGCGCGGGTGAAGTGGCGGCCGTGAAGAACAATTCAATATGTGCGGTTGGCGTGGCTTTCGGTGCGGGCATCGGAGGTACGTAGGTTTATTCATATATGCATACTGCATATGTTGCATCGTGTATGGCCACTTTTTGGCTTAGATAAAGCATGTATGGTATGAAGTGCATTTTGCCTTCTCATGACGAGGCCAGAACAGCCACAAGAAGGTACAGGGAGTTAATATTATGCTTATCTCTCTTGGGGGCTTGTAATTTGCCCCTTATCATTAGGGAAACAGGAATAGACTGGTGAGTTGTTCGTCAGTGTTTTCTCGACTCAAGGAGCAATATCCTTGCAGAGGAATCCGGAACCTAAAGTAAATTTTTCTAAGATGTCTTTCACACACACAAGGCAGATGCAACGGCTCTGGAAAAAAGATGGCGGAGGAAAGGGGAATATATATTTATATACAGAGAAGCTGTAAATAATGCGTGCGGCTGGTTTTACGTCATTTATGTTGCAACTCCCTTACAGCCGCCAACTCTTATTTGGTACGGTGGTCTAATAGTGTCTTCGCCGAAGATCTTCCATTTTGACATATTTTTCTGGCGAAATAGCCCATTGATGCCGCTGAAACAAGTAAATCAATGTATATTTAAAAACTTAGTTTACTAGTGTTTTACTTCAGCTTCTTGTTAATAAATAAAAAATTCAAAATACCTCCGGATCTTGCCGCGTTATTTTTTTTAGGCACTGATTCGAGTTTCGTTACTTTTGTAACATCATGCACACACAACGCCGTCACTAATATATTTTTGTATCCTTCCAAAGGCGTGCGCATGCTGGACGGAGACGTGACTGATGTAGTGGAGGCGCGATCGCTGGCACTCAACAACCAGCACATCGACGTGTACAGCGCCTCGTGGGGTCCTGACGACGACGGCAAGACGGTGGACGGGCCGGGCGAGCTGGCCACGCGGGCGTTTCGCGAAGGCATTGAGCGCGGCCGCGGCGGCCTCGGCTCCATCTTCGTGTGGGCCTCTGGCAATGGGGGCCGCGAGCGGGACAACTGCAACTGCGACGGCTACACCAACGCCATCTGGACGCTGTCCATCAGCAGCGCCACCGAAAATGGCCTGGTGCCCTGGTACAGCGAGGCCTGCTCTTCCACCCTTGCCACCACGTACAGCTCGGGATCAACGGGCGAAAGGCAAATCGTGAGTGCACCAATGGCTTGATGGTGCAAGAATCGCGAATAATGACCGAAATGACTGAATAATGTGTGAGGATTTGTTGGAGTTCATTTTTCTGCCCTGTGTTGCGACCTTTCAATGAGTGTAGCGAAGTGGCACAGCAGAAGTGAAGCTACTTTTCTAGTGCGTCTGCACAGTCACCGCACTGTCCCGCATTTCGACAGTGCATGCACGAACCTGTTAGTTCACAAAGATTTCAAAATGGATTGGATGCACCCGCAACACCCCTTGTAATAAAGGGGGCTCTGAAACACTGGTGAGCATGGTCAGAAAACGCTGCCGATTGGTGGTTGATGCTTCCGAGGACACGCGAGCCGAACATTATAGCGCACATTGGCGTAGCCAAGTTTCAACTTCACATGCATATGCATACGCACTGTAAGAACTGAAGGAGGAAGTTGCAGATAATGGCATCCCACCGATGCCACCAGTTGTTAGGAATGGGGGTCTACCCGGTCTCTTGAGGTAGCGTGGTGTAACCGGCTGGAGGAAAACGAACGCTGACAAGAAGAGATACGAAAACAAACAGGTTTATGACACTATTTACACTTATTTACAGCAAAGAAAGGTTAGTGGTTTCACAAACCACGAGCGTGGTGGTTGAACCGTAACATGGTTCAGAGCGACGTCCAGCACTCTGCGGCCTCGTTTTAAGCCCTGTCGGGTTCCTCCTTTTTATTTATTTATTTATTTATTTATTTATTTATTTATTTATTTATTTATTTATTTATTTGTGGAATACTGCAGGCCAAAAAGGCCCAAGATGGAGGGGCACAAACACAACCACAAGATCAGTACATGAGTGACACAGCTTCACTAAAATACATCTGTGTAAGAGGAGAGCGAGTAGAAGAGAAACATCAAAACAAAGAAAGCACGCGATCAGTACATGAGTAACACAGCTTGACTAAAATACATCTGTGTAAGAGAAAAGCGAGTAGAAGAGAAACATCAAAACAAAAAAAAAAATAAAGCGATATTGGGAGGGGGGGAGGGTCAAGATTCACAGAATTAAACATTGGGTTCATCAAGATCGAAGGTTTGGAGGAAATCAGAAGGCAAGTTATTGCATTCTGTTACAGTTCTCGCAAAAAAGGAAAACCTAAATAAATCTGTCCGCGCAAAATACGGAGTTAAAGATCGGACATGAGAATGACGAGTTTGCCTGGTCGAAACTGGGGTAACGTAATGTGATGGGTCTAGCCCAAGTTTATTGTTAATTAGTGAGTCCAAGAATTTTAGACGGAGAAGCTGGCGCCGCGATTGTAGCGTCTGGAATTCGTTGTCTCGCATTAGTTCAGTAACTGATGTACCACGACCATACTTCGAGTAAATAAAAATGCACTGCTCGTCTTTGAATCTTTTCGAGGGAATATATGTTAGACTTAGTATGCGGATCCCATACAATACAAGCGTATTCAAGCTTTGAACGTATTAAAGTGTTATAAGCTAATAGTTTCACTTGCGACGGGGCGTCTCTGAGTTTGTGCCTTCAAAGACACAGTTTACGGAAAGCCGATGACGAAACATCGGCAATGTGTGCATTCCAGGACAACTTATTCGTTATTGTTATACCTAGGTATTTGTATTGACCGACTTCTTTTAAGGGTTGGCTTTTGGAGGAATAGGAAAACTGAAGGGGATTTTTCTTGTTAGAAATTCGAAGGCAAACAGATTTATTGAAATTGAGCACCATGCCCCATTTGTTACACCACGAAAGAATATTGTTAAGGGCAGTGTCGAGAGCGACCTGGTCATCTGGCGAGTGTACATCTGTGAAAATAATGCAGTCGTCTGCAAAGAGTCTTATTTTAACCGGATCAGTAATAGCATTAACAATATCATTGCAATAAATTATAAACAGCAGCGGACCTAGAACACTACCCTGCGGTACGCCGGAATCTACTGGGAGATGAGGTGATGTCTGTCCACAGACGTCGACATACTGTTTCCGGCCGTTCAGGTAAGCAGACACCCAGGATACTAGGTAGTTTGGAAGCCCTATAGTCTGCAATTTCTCGATGAGCTTGTTATGGGGAACACGGTCGAAGGCTTTACTGAAATCTAAAAACAGTACATCGACCTGACCAGCTTTATCTAAAATAGAAGCAATGTGATGAATAACTGAGACCAACTGGGTGACTGTGGAAAACCGTTTTCTAAATCCATGCTGAAAGAGAGATAAAATGTGGTTATCATCTAAGAAGCTGTTTATACGAGTGGCAATTATATGTTCTAGCATTTCGCAGCATGCGGAAGTCATAGAAATTGGACGGTAGTTTGGTGTGCACTCTGGGTCCTCCTTTTTCACAAAGGGCAGAACACGGGCCGATTTCCAATCGATGGGTAAAGTTGCTGAACTTATCGAGGCTCGGAAGACCACAACAATGTACTTGGCCAATATTTCGGCATATCGCCGGAGAAATGCATTGGGTATGTTGTCTGGTCCAGGGGTTGATTTAACTTTTAATCGCAGCAGTAAATTTAGGACACTATCGAATAAATTAGGTTAGGATCTGAATCAGAAGCGTCAATGCTAATTGAGACAGGCAGGGTAGAAGTTGAAAAAACACTATGAAAATAGTCGTTTAAATTTTTCGCGATCGTTTGGGGATTGTCAATTATAGTGCCGTTAAACTTCATTCGGTTTACAGAGCTTTTACGGTCCCTAATAAAATACCAGAATTTTTTTGGGTCCTCTTTGATGAAGTTTTGTAACTTGACAGTAAAATAAAAATTCTTGGCCCTTTTAATAGCTTCGGAAAGGGAGTTACGAATTTCCCTGAGAATGTTAGCAGGAGCACCTTTTTTCCGATAGCGCTTGGCTTTACGCTTCATTTGTATTATTGGCCTTGTGATCTATGGTGAGAACTTTGGGGGTTTTTTTGCTTTGTTTGGTACAAACCGTTCAATGCAGTGGAAGCATAGTTTCTTAAATTTATCCCAGAGAACAGCAGCGTCGTCGCCATCAAAATTCACCAATTCAAATTCAAGATAATCTTGGATGCTCGTATCGTTAGCACGGGAAAAATTTTTGACCTGTTTAGAGTCAAGTGGGCTATTGGAGCGATTGCAATGCAAGGGAAAAGAAACTGTGACCATGTCGTGATCAGATAAGCCGGGTTCAACACAAACACAGCAATCAAGAATAGTGCGATGCATGAACACAAGATCTAGTAACGTGGACGAAGCATTACCAACACGTGTCGGTTGCTGAACAATTTAGGCAAGATTGTGGGAAAGCATTATATCGAACAGTATATTTGCATTAATCAAATCTGATGTCGACTGCATTTGGTTTCAGTCAATATTAGGCAGATTTAAGTCGCCGATGACAATTAGCTTTTGATTACTGTAATTTTCCATATGGGTTTTCAAGTTAAACAAATAATCCGGCAACGAATTCGGCGGCCTGTACACTGTATACAATACAAAAGACTTATTGATGAGTGAAAGCCTCAGGCATATGCTTTCTGTACTTTCAACGTCAGGGAAACGGGTGACAGTAATTCCTGTTTTAACAAGTACTTCAACTCCACCACCTCTTGAGGCCCTATCTCTGCGGTACATTTCATAAGCTGGAGGCACTAAGTCTTGGTCACACATTTCCACGTTTCCGAGCCACGTTTCCGTTATTACAACTACATGAGGGTTGTATGCTAAGAGTACAGCCTCAAGTTGTTCGGTTTTATTTCCGATGCTTCGAGCATTCATATTAATCAGTCTAACTTGCTTGCTTTTGCGCAGCTGGTCAACACTTGCTTCCCGTACTTTCGTTATCGGGTGCACTGCCGATAGACTGAGGCGATGCCGTGGCACTCCGACGGCTTCCAATGAACTGACGTTTGTTTGTTACGTCATTCCAAATAAACAGATCATCACCTACACGCAACTTATCATGCACCGAAAATGCCTTCTTGCCTTGTTCTTTGTCGGCTTTTGCACTTTCCCACAGTAATTTATGTTTTGCCAACGTCTCCTTTGAGTAGTCGTTCTGAACAAAGATGTTAGTTCCCTTTAGGTTGCTCGCCTTTTTCAGCACAGCTAGCTTTTCGGTGAAGTCTTGAAGATACAAGATAATCGGCCTATTCGAGCCTGATCTTCCAAGCCTATGAATCCGGGCAACAGAAGTGCATTTAACGCCGAGCTTGCTGTGAAACGTTTCAGAGACGACCTTCTTTTTAAGATCAGATTCAGTTTCTTCCGGCTGTTCTGGGATACCAAAAACAATCAAGTTTGAATGTCTGCCTCGATCTTCAAGATCCGTTAGCTTTCGGGCCTGGAAATTCATTGTGTTTGTGTAGACCTTAAGGAGGTTGTCCAGGTCATCTAATTTTGAATTTTTAGTTTTCATTTCAGCCACATGGGTCTCGATTTCTGAAAGACGCCGTGTAAGCTCTGCTAACATGTTTTCCGTTTTAGTTGTAAGGTCTGCTACCTCACTACGGAGAGCTTTTTGACCCTCTAAAAGTTTAGCCAGCATGTCTTGGTTGGTAGGTCCGGGGTTTTGTTCGACATCACCACAAAGTAGTAACCGAAGTGCACAAAAACAATCGTATGCAATTTTACGACACTGCCGTGGGCACGGCATAACAACCAAACAGCGGCAATCGCTTCGAAATGAGCTGTACGCCCTACTAACCTGCACAAGGCAGAGGAAACGTTTAGCCATGTTTCCACGGATTTCGCCGTGCCCACTAATGGAGGGGGGGTTCCAGGTGTCTTTAAGTAGTCGATGATAGGATGACGTCACAGACCAAGCACTGCCAGGCGGCAGCAGCTTCGGGGTGACGTCACATGGTTCCACGTGGGGCAGCTGTGACTTGCAGAAAGGAAAGTGGTGCGAATGCGGCGAGTACCCAGTGGTGGCCGTTGTAGATCCAGGAGATACGTTGGGGACGCAGAGCAGTAAGCCCTGCACAAGGTAGAGGAAACGTTTAGCCATGTTTCCACGGATTTCACCGTGCCCACTGAGTGGAACACGCACACACACACAACAGGTGAGGGGGACAAGCATGCACGGTCCACGTGAACGTCCAATATTGAGTCGTGAACACTGCACTGCAAGGTGACACCAGGGGCGCTCTTCCGCTTCGTGTGTGTGCCGCTAGTCGAGAGGTCCCAAGCTCCTGACAGCATACATCAAAGGGTCCGCCGATCTATTTGCTCAATTAGCGGGGCAATTTGCGGCGACCGCCACGGTCTCTTCCAAAGAAGATGCTGTGTTTGTTGTCCTCTCTCGAACGGTTTACGGCGTCGTGGGGACATGACGTCTCATCCTCCAGCTAGCAGGGACGACAATGCCTGGCGGGCATAGGCAGCCGGCCGGTCAGCTACTTGATTGAGGATTAAAAGAGCGCTGTTCCCCCGTCAGCTCTGGCGCCGGTCACAACAGCTTCCCCCTTACCAGATGAGTCACCTCAAAAGGACGACGAAAGGGTCCGTAGCTGAAAGTCAGGAACTCGCCTTCGCTTGCCGCATGGTCTGGGTAAATGCTGAAATCTTCGACAGCGTCTGGCAGACTGGGCGCCGAAGGGGTTGAGAGCCTCCCCAGTAGACCGGCTTACGCACGATGGCGTCTGCCCAGACGAAGTGCGGGGCCAAACGTAACAGCACACACATATGCACCTATGAACTGACAAAGTATGGTTAAACACGCCCATGCTTCCCCCCCCCCCTTCCACCGAAAAAAATTTCTGGCTATGTCTTTGATTGTGCAGCACATGGCCCAGAATTTAACCTAGTTCTCAGTGAGCTAGAAGTCTCTTCCTCTTCTCTTTACAAATTATGCCCTATACACCAATGTCTGCGCTATATACCCATGTCCATGGTAGCTGACTGATTTGATGCTTAGTTACAGAGATTGCCGCGGAATGCCACCATGCACTCATGTGCGCGCTCGCGACCACACTGAAACTAAGCCACGCATTCGAAGAAAAACAAGAAAAAGTGCTCAGACTCATGACGCATGTGGAGCAAAGGACTGATCTTTTTCTCACTCCCCTTTCTGCATAAATTTGAGCACGCTCGCTGGCCAAAAGGAGAAAGAAAGCGCTTGAAGCTTGTAACAAATACTACACGTAACTCTGCTTGTTCTTGCCATGTTCTGAAAATTTTGCGGCATGTGATTTGTGATGCATCATGCACTGATAAGAGGACTATTTTCCATTTGAACTCGGGCAAAGTGTTTCAGGGCTTCTATAATTGAGCTAATTTGCAAACGTAGGACAGCATTCTGCTTTTTACTACTAGTATCAGCATTGTGCACTTGTAACCTGTTATCTCATTAGTGTCCCCTGTGAGATGATGCTTTGTGTACACACTGGTATAATATGCAGTATTTCCAAGAGCAAATATTTTACCGATAGATAGCCTGGAATTTTATCCCTACCACTTCATTCACCGGTAGGTGTGTAGTGATGCTCCTTCTCGGGACACTATTATGAGACAGCTGGTAGCATGGCAAGGAGTTCTTCCAGTCGCACTGAAGCACTTCGCAGTGGGTATTGCACCAAGTTGTTGCAGCTGAGTATAATTGCAACAAAGAGTTGGGAGTTACTAAAAAATGCCAAGCCCTCATCTAGATGTCGTCTCTATGAAATTTTTGTGTGCCATTAGATGCAGTTGCCACATATACTACAGAGACTTGGTTTCTTATTTGTTTATTTATTTGCACGATGCAAATATACAGTAAGAGTCTTCAATCTTATTTAGATCCAGCTCATTGAAGCAGTTCTCTCCTGTGGCATTCGATTAAACTTTTTTTTTTTGCAAAAGCATTTATTAGAAGACTCTGCACTCCGCGAGTCTCTCGCAGTGATGATTTAGCGGATATGGTGTAATGTTGCTAAGCATGAACAAACAGCGTCATATCTCGGCCACAGCAGCTGCATTTCAATGAAAGTGCAAAGATGTTCGTTTACTTGGAAAAGGTACATATTGAAAACATGGCATAATAAAAATTAACCCAGCAGCTAGGAGTGCGGCACACCTCATTACTGCACCATGGTTCTGACATGTAAAAACCCAGAATTTAACTTTTAATGTGACTCATACATTGACATTTTGCATGCTTTATTTGAAATAACTAGCTGTTTCCTTAGTTTTAGAAATATACTATTTAGCTTGTTTACTCAGTAATATTACTTGACATTTGAGTTATACAAGCGCTGTTCATCCTATTGGTACCATCGATAGGCTTATACAAAAGGTGTCAAAATGGGCACAGGTCTCTATTGTTTCAGAAGTATATATAAATGCCGTTTCGTTACACTCAGACCATTTTGTTTTCTCTTTTTACTCTCAGCATATTTCTGAAGTAAGCAGTGCCCTTGAAATCATCTTCACATTTATCTCACGTGAATGTTTGTTATTGAACTGTATCAATTGTTCATGCATTTCTGTAATGGTCCTTCTAGGGTTAACAGTATTAATAAACAAACAAAATTATAACAGTCACATTGGCCACGAAGATATTTCGTTATAATAGAAAATTTGATATAAACAAATATTCATAACACTGACAAAACTATTCTTCACTTCCTTCTTTATAACAGATAATTCATTATGTCCGAGTTCGTTGTATCAATGTACGAGTGTATATGTGAGCTGCTAAAAAGAGGTTGAGGTGAAATAACAGTTGTATTCTCTATGGTAATGTGTTAGAGGGGCATTATAACAAAAAAATGGCAGCATGTATAATAATGTCTGAACCTTTTTGAACGTTCAAATCTTAATACCCCTGCACTTCTTGTGAACCTTATATTCAGATCACGACTGACTTGCATCACGGTTGCACCTCCACTCACACGGGAACGTCTGCATCAGCTCCTTTAGCGGCTGGCATTTGTGCCCTCGCACTTGAAGCTAAGTAAGTAACCACCGCCATACTGCTTACTCTCCCTATTGTCCAAGGAGACTTCTGAATTTTGAGTGAGCAATCCTCCCGATTGTACGGGCAAAGCCAATTATCTCCCCTGTAAATATCCATAGCCTCCCTGCAAAAGAATATGAAAAACAGTAGTTCTAAAATCTTTCGTCTATCTTCTATCTCATATGTAAACCCCCGCCCCACCCACTTTTGTTTTAGGTTGTTCACAGACACTGGTGTCATGTGGAAAATCGTAAGATTAATAGTAGGCGTGGGATACAGCATATTTTGTCCTTTACAAGTACCAGTATGATCGTTCCATCCAAAATATTTACTGGCAATCCTACAGAGCTCTTTGTGACGTTGCTGAAGCCCGAAGAAACAATAAAAAAATAGTACACATTTTCTGTTCTTTTTTTACTCTCAGCATATTTCTCAACGTAGCAATAGTACTGGGAGTATTGAGTTGTTGCTTTGCAACTAGATATATTTTAGTACGCTTACCCAGAGCCACATCATTTTACACAACATGTCAAATCTGATTTCCGGCATCGTGGTGCATTTTTTTTTATTTTCTTAGTCGCCGGCTCACATGGAGAGACATGCAACACATAGTTGTTCGGACTGCCAAGCCCGCCAACCTGCACACAAGTGATTGGCAGAAAAACGGAGTTGGACGCAACGGTAAGAGCTCACTTTCAGTTTTTTTTTTTTTTTCCTCTCGCTGTGCAAACAGAGGTTATGTATAGTATTGTGCTTGTGTACCACTTAATTTTTTTCTGATGGTCATTTCTTTACCCGTATCAATATCTTACTTTCTTTTTTGTTACTACTCTTTTCGTTTTACAAACGCATACACAGTAACTGGTCTTCACTCATGCTGCTGAAGGGATAGCTGTAGTAGAGCAGGGAAATGCTTGCTACGGCAAGACGTCAGCGCTATAACTGATTTTTTAAACTTTTTCTTACTATTGAAGTTATACCGTTCACACATGAGTCAGTTATATTCTCCTTGCATAGCTTTGACGTCTAGTAGGGCTGTTATCTCTAGATAGGCTGAAGTAGCTAGTGTAAGAAAAACCATGATTTTGATTTACAGATGGGCATACCCAAGTACTACACTGGCATGCACCAAAGGCACATGCCTTAACTTCTAGTGACGTGAATACAATTTGTGGCTACTCTACTAGGACAGGTTGCACTATTACACATTTGTGATACACCTCTTTGACATAAATTTTTGTATCTGTATGTTTGGCTTGAATATTCAGGCTGCAGGAGGCAAACAAGTAGGGACGCTTAAGCGAGATGGTAGAGTTGAACTCTGCTACAACGAACACCGCTTCAATCAAATTTCCGCTACAACGAAAAATTCGCGATTTCCCGTCTGCAGTCCATAGTAGTCAATGCATAAATATTGTCACCACAATGAACACTTTTTTTTTTCGATTGTCCCGCTTCAACGAAATCTTACAATGCAATTCCAGGCTTGGATACTTATTGCTATGCAGTAAACCCAATCTTTGACATTTCAATGCATTTTCAGAGCCTGAAAATGCACCAGCGAAGTCTAAAATGCGTTGGCACCACCAGAAACCACCGCTATACCACCGCTATAGTGTACTAGAATATGGGGTAGTGTGTTCAAGGAGGAGCCGTGGCTGACGCAGTTGGTATCGACAGCCGCGAGATGGCGCCACCTTAGCATGGGCTGTCACCTCACGCTTTGCCTTTTATGCACTTCTGTGCTTTGATATTGGTAATAGCAGTTGTTTAACATCCCAAAACCACCATACGATTATGAGAGACGCTGTAGAGGAGTGCTCCAGAAATTTGACTACCTGGGGTGCTTTAACGTGCTCCGAAATCTAGGTACACGCACCTCAGTATTTGGGCCTCTGCCGTAAATGCAGCCGCCGCGGCCGGGATTCGATCCCGTGATAATTGCTGACACGTCCACGAAAAGCTTTCTAATGGGTTTGTTTGTACTGCATTCAAAACAAAGCGAAATGTCAAAGCCGCAGCACATGGTCCAAATACAGGTATTGACAAACGACGGTGAAGCAGTCATCCCTGGGGAAACTGCCTGCAGTTTTTAAAGCTCGGTTGGTGAACGAATAATAAATTGGGAAGATTGAGGTATCGAAGCAGCACCTCTAAACCCGAAAGTTTCTTGTTATATTATTTCTATATTGAGTCGTAGTCTGCACACTGCGACAGCTTCGACTTCCTTCGTTATGCGCGCGGTGCCGTTCTTGTCGATAGTTGCATCATGCAATTTTAATTATGTTGCTAATGGGACAAAACTGCCATTTGATTGAGAGGCACGCCGTAGCTGAAGACTTGGCAATAATTTTGACAATTTTGGGTCTTTAAACGATTACGCGCCCGCCGAAGTACTGCTGCTGTGGCCCGGATATTGCACTGTCTAGTCAAAAGGAAACATCACTTGGCACCACTCTCAAGCTGTAAGAAGAGACCCTTTATTTACGAGCGTGCATACTGCAGTGAGCAGTAACACCGATTAAATTTGTCGCCATTCCATGGAATTATCAGTTCACGATCACTTCATCACAGTGGCCCCTTTATGAACACCGACTGATTTTCGCGTACAGCTTTTTTTCTTCGTTTTGCCTTTCGAGACTAATTGATACCCTTCGCGAAAAAAATGAAGTCCTGACAGTACGTAAATTACCGCTCTCTTTGACACCAAATGCGGTACGATCGAGCTCGTATAAATTCAAGGTAAACAAAGCTTAAGTAAGCGTTCCAGCGAAGCTGCAGTCCCTGTAGTGTTTGCCACCTCGGGTTCGTAGTCAGCAGGAAGGTCCATCGATGAACCTGAATCAGTGGCTTCACCGTCAACACAGGGTGCTGCAGTTTTCTTGGAGATGGTAGATTCGACTGCCGAGTTCTTGCGCTTTCTCGGATGTCTTGGATGCGGTGCTTTCTTCGATAAGTAGCTTGAAGCGTTAGGCAGTAACATCGACACGGCGTCAGGCGTTAACTCTGGTCTCCTATGTGGTGCGCAAACTTCTTCGCCGTTTATAATGTGCACGTAGTCTCTGAGAACACATGAAGACTCGAAGTGTAGCTCACATACAGAGCAGCTTTCGTTCAAGGTCCCATTCTTTCGATTTAAATTCTGTTCCAAAACCTTCCTCCATGCTTCGTCTTTGGGTGCAGTGAAAAGTGATGGCTGCTCACTTTTTTTTACAAAAGTATACCCTGTTTTGCACCTAGGTGCCAAGCATTGTCGTTGCCGCCGATGACTTGGCATCGCCTCACTGTCGCGTGGCCAGCAAAAACATTGCCAGAAAAACTTTTGCTAAGCGGGCGCGAACACAGGCAACAGGTCACTGAACAGCACTTGAGTAGGCACAGCGGCGCGGAGCTGACAATACTGCCAGCTGTTAGGTTTGGCCTGGAGATTCGTCTCTCAATCCCTTCGGCGCCCAGTCTGACAGACGCTGTCGAAGATTTGAGCAATTATCCAGACCAAGCAGCAAGCAAAGGCGAGTTCCCGTCCTTCAAATGCGGACCCTTTTGTCGTCCCTTCAAGCAGCAGCGTGCCTGATGACCTCGGTGATTCATCTAAGCGATGGGGTTGCTGTTGTGACCGGAGCCAGAGCTGACAGGAGAGCGGCATTCCTTTTTAATCACCAAGCCGACTGGCCGACTGCCTATGCTCGTCAGACATTGTACGTGCTAGCCGGAGGACGAGACGTCGTGTCGCCAAGACGCCGTTAACCGTTCGAGAAAGGCCAACAAAGACAGCAACTTCCTGGAAGAGATCGCGGCGGCCACCGCAAATCACCCCGCTAATGAAGCGAACAAATCGGCGGACCCTTTGAAGTATGCTGCCAGGATCGTGGGAACTCTCGACTAGCGGCACACACACGACGAGGAAGAGCCCTGCTGGCGCCACCACAGTGCAGTGTTCACGTGGACCGTGCATGCTCGCCCCCCTCACCTGTGTGTGTGTGATTGGTGTTCCCCTCGGAGAGGAGAAGCCCAACAGGGCTTAAAACGAAGCCGCAGAGTGCTGGACGGCGCTCTGAACTATGTAACGTTCAATTACCACGCTCGTGGTTTGTGAAACCACTAACCTTTCTTTTCTCTAAATATGTGTAAATAGTGACATAAACCCTGTTCTGTTTTCGTATCCTCCAGCGTCCTTCCTTCCGACACCTTACAAATGGTGGCAGCGGTGGGATGCCATCAGCTACTTCATCATCACCTGCAACTTCTTCCTTCCCATCTCTTACAACTGGTGACAGCGGTGGGATGGACTTCACGACGGGGTGCTGTGCTGTGGTGAGTGCTTGGTCTTTGCTTTGACTTTCCAGGCTTTAATTGTGTGAGTTTATTAGAAGCTGGATTGTGTGTGAGTTAAGGAGATCACCTATTTGTGTGTTAGAGGGATCCCCTACATTTGTGTGAGATGCAGGATCAAAGTACAACGGCAATCATGGAGGTGAAGACACTGCTAAAAGATGGTCTTTTGTACATTTGCGAAGACCTGGGTATTAAGGTGAAAAAAGGAATGGGCAGGCCGGAAATTTTAGAGTTAATTTTGGAAAGCGCTAGTGAGGTGGATATTGGGTACGCGTTGAAAGCTTTAAAAAGGTTGGAAGAACGAAATCAGAAATGAGAAAAAGAACGGAAAAGGATGGAACGGGAACGAGAGGAACGGAAACGAGAGGAACGCGAAAGAAAGGAACGGGAACGAGAAAGAGAGGAACGGGAATGAGAACGAGAGGAACGCGAAATAGAGGCATGGAAAAAGGATACAAATGAGCGTGTTAGCACACAGTTTACTTCATTTTGTTGTTTTTGTGATTACTTAGGGATCATATATGATCACTTGAGCTGAAAGCCCTGCGTTCACCAAATTTTGAGACTAGATACAGTTCTAGGATTTATAAGACGCAGTTTGATTTGATGTGAGGGAGTTTTGTTGGCGTCAGGGTGTCATAAAAGCAGGTACTCACGACTACGTTAAGTTTGTAATGAGAGAATAGAAAATGCGCCCAGATAACTTTTGTAGGTTCAGGCTGCATGTGTGTGGAATTTAGGTAGTTGTCTTTCATGAAATTAGTCATGAAGTTAAATGTGAGTTACAACTTAGTAGTGCAGATGGTAGGAGAAAGCTTGTTTTGTAAAAATGGGATTACTGTTATATGGGGCCAAATTGTATTTGCCTTTGTGTGCTTTTCTCACACGGCAATTTGTTCCATCTTTGGTAAGCATCTCCACATCCATGACTGTTGTAACTTTGGCGGCACCAAATTGTCTCAAAATTTTAGCGTACAGGTTTTTCCTTTTTGTGTTGAGAAGCCTGGAGGGTATTAAGCGGGTCCAATGTGCTTGACTTCAGCATGGTATTGTGTTGTGTGGTTCGCCTTGCTGTTGTCAATCATTGTAAGCTGGTTTGGGAGTTGGTTTCGAGTTCGCAGCTGGAGGGAGAAAAGCCAGGCCATCGCCCTCGTCACCAACCATTCTCTTCGTGCCCAGCGGTTGGGAGCGCTGGCCAGCCGAGATTTTCCGGGCGGCGGAGGAGCTGTTAGGTTTGGCCTGGAGATTCGTCTCTCAATCCCTTCGGCGCCCAGTCTGACAGACGCTGTTGAAGATTTGAGCAATTATCCAGACCAAGCAGCAAGCAAAGGCGAGTTCCCGTCCTT